CCCTAACCACTGTGCTACAGGTGCAGAGCCCAGGAACTTTTTTTTTTTTTATAGAGACAGAGTCTCACTTTATCGCCCTTGGTAGAGTGCTGTGGTGTCACAGCTCACAGTAACTTCCAACTCCTGGGTTTAGGCGATTCTCTTGCCTCAGCCTCCTGAGTAGCTGGGATTACAGGCACCCACCACAATGCCCAGCTATTTTTTTGTTGCAGTTTGGCCATGGCCGGGTTTGAACCCACCACCCTCAGTATATGGGGCTGGCACCCTACCCACTGAACCACAGGTGCCACCTTAAATATTTCTTGATTAAACAAATGAATGATGGAATTTGTGAATAAGATCCCAAATCAAGCCAGAATCTGGGCTAACAAACTTTTTGAAGGAAAAAAAAAAACCATTTATCTCAAATTTAAATTTATTTAAAAATTACAAAAATTTATCCACTCAGGTTGTCCATGAAAAAATTTAAAAGCAATAATGATCTTGGTTAAAGACCAGCAGTCTAATGTAATTTATAAAATTGAGCAAAATTTGGATGTGTGTCTTATGCCTCTGTAGACACGGGATCCTTTCTTTAGGTCTCTTTCTTTAGGGTCTGGTAGCATCATCACTGGGACACTTTCCAAAGCCTTTTTCCTCTGGACTCTATGTAAAATGATTCTGTAGACCCCTGTGATGGAGCTGCGAGCGTCTCTGCCTTGGTTATTCCGAATATGCTCTTCTGTGATACCCAAATGCTCTAACGTGCTTTTGACCTCACATTCTTCTTCTTTGAGGGGGCTGGTTTCTGACAGGTGTTTGGGATCCAGGTGGAAAGGTTCCAGAGGGGTGGGGTATGGCACCCCTTGCATCCATTCGTCGTTCATGATGCAGTCGATCCCGTGCCTCTCCGTGGGGGTCGGCTGAAGGACTCCTCGGATGAGCCGGTGGCAGGGCTCCGACACATGTGAAGGCACGCTGTATGCGCCCTCCAGGATGCTCTTTTTCAGTTTGGCCACAGTCTCCGCCCGAAATGGCATGGTGCCCGTCACCATGAAGTACAAAAGCACCCCCAAGGCCCAGATGTCCACATAAATGCCGACGTAGTGCTCGTCTCGGAAGAGTTCAGGTGCAGCATAGGGAGGAGACCCACAGAAAGTGTTCAGCATTTCACCTTTTTTACTTACTGTGCTGAATCCAAAGTCGCCCACCTTCACACAAGTACCACTGGTGTAGAATACATTTTCTGCCTTCAGATCTCTGTGAATAATTTGGTTTTCATGCTGCGCAACAAGACATAGGGGAAAGTTATTTTCAAAATAAAATTCTGAAATTAAAAAAATGGTATCAATTCCTCCAAAAGAGTGAACTGGTGATGGTGTAATACCAAAAATTCAATGGGAATCAGCTTAAATCACGATAACAAACCCTGTTATAGCCTTCAGTCCAATGTAATGCCCACACCCCTAAAACAGACCAAAAGTTCTATTCTGGCGTGGGCAGAGGGTTGAAGTCTGTTTCACACATGCTGACTCATGAGCCAGAAATGAGACCTGGGACTTAGGCTCAGCGCCTGTAGCTCAGCCGCTAAGGCGCCAGCCACATACACCTGAGCTGGCAGGTTCGAATCCAGTCTGGGCCCAACAATGACAACTGCAACCAAAAAATAGCCGGGCGTTGTGGCAGGCACCTGTAGTCCCAGCTACAGGAAGGCTGAGGCAAGAGAATCGCTTAAGTCCAAGAGTTTGAAGTTGCTGTGAGCTGTGACACCATGGCAATCTGCTGAGGGCAACACAGTGAGACTTTGTCTCAAAAAAATAAATAAATAAAAATAAGACCTGGGACTTAGGAACCTATGTGTGCTGAAGCATAATGAAACAGTCATCCTTAGTTGTTAGGTCAGGTCATATGTGAGTTTTTCTGGCTGAGGGAATCTCCTGATGGGGTTTAAGATCAGGAAAGCTTGGAGCCTTCCCCGAACTTTCCAGCCTTGCATTTTTGTGTGGACCCCTTTATCTTTATAGAATTCAGTAGAAGGGAGAAGCCTGCATTTGGCCAGGCTCTATCAACAGGTTGTGCTGTGGGTTGTGGACACCTGCCCCCTCTCACACTATGCTGGATCCAGACTGCATTCTGAATGCAATGTTCTGAGGACCTTTGACCTTTTCAGTCCCAAAGGTGCTTGAGAAATGGCTTCGTGTGCTTTTCTTGAGGGTACCTCTTATGGTAATAATCTTGGCTTTGGAGCCTGACAGTCTGGTCAGTTCTAGGTTCATTTCTACCAACTGTGTTCTGTGAGGGTCAGTTTTCTTCTTATAAAATCAGGTACAGATAACCATGTCATACAGCTTTGGTGAGAACTATACAGTGCTCAGCACGGTCTTGGCATATAAACTCAGTGGACTTTGGATCTGTGTATAGTTCACATTTCCTCTTTGCAGAGCCCAGAGTAGTGGGAGAAATGGCAGGATGTAGACCTTCCAAGAACTAAGGGCGGTACCCTCTATCGCTGGATTCTCTTCTGTTCTCCCACCGGTTTATTCTTCCAAGTAGAATGTGGAAGACTCATCACCCAATTGTTCCCTTACTTGGTATGGGCTTATTTCCTGGGCCAGGACCATGCTGAGCACAGAGAAAGCTAAACGATGTCTAGTGGTCTCCTACAAACAGTCTGCAACACCCACCAGCACTGCATCAAGTTCTTCTCTCTGCCTCACTTCTTTTTCCCCTTCTCTCCTCCCTGGAGGTCATTAATTCCCCTGCAAATTTTTTGGTCAGGAGCTCACCAATCCCAGTCTTGCTCCTATAACCATCCAGGCAGAGGAATGAACTAGAAACAGCCTCTCAACTATAATAGATCCCCAACAAGTGTCTGCTTTCCTCCAGTTGGGCAGACCCATTCAACTGGGGTAAGGAGCGTGACCAAAAACATACTAGTGAGAGTGGGAGTCAGGTCTGCAAGTCGGGTTCCTCCTGTGTACCCAGCAACACGGCCAACAATAGAGACAGGGCACGAAACAGCCAGTTCTCGGAGGAACCAGGGAGTACATTTTAGGATTTCAGACTTATATTGAGAAATAATCAGAGAACTAAAATAATGACACAGTCAGGTGTGAATCTGCTGAGCACAGGGGCAATAAGAGCTAGGGGAGCTCACTGAGGGCAAGAAGAAAGTTTCACAGAGAGAGACAACTGAGCCAGTCAGGAGGTGTGGGTGGGATTTGGAGCGTGAGACATGCTGAGAGGCAGAGGGCATCCCAGACAGATTTAGGAAGGCACGGCCAAGAAGCAGTGAGGAGCCAGCTAACTGGGTAACAGATATGAGGCTGAGAAATAGGTATGCTGGGGAGTGGGGGATGTTCACTGGTTGTGCCCAGTGACTCCTGCCCAGTGTTACAGAGGCCAGAAGGCCATTGTGTAACTGGAGATCCCTGGACGTTGCTTCCAAGGCAAGGAGCACGATCCCAGCCAGACTTTCTGGTGCTCACAGAAGGGACTGCTCTTTGCCCTTGTAGGACTCCAGCCCTCTGGGATGCTTGACTGGGAGTAAAGCCCCGTGCTCCCAAGGCAGGTGGGACAGGAGTAAGACTCTCATCATTCCCCACTGCTGCTCACCATGTGCTTCACGGCAGACACGATCTGGGAGAAGACGAGCTTGCTTTCTGATTCGGAGAGCTTCCCTTCGGTGCTAATCTTCCCAAATAGCTCCCCACCCCCTGCATACTCCATCACCAAGTGGAGCTTGGATAGGGTCTCCACCACTTCATAAAGGCGGATGATATTGGGATGGTGCAGTTTTTCCATGCTGGAGATTTCTCTGGACAGTAGCCTTTGAGTTTTCTGGTCTAACTTGGTCTTGTCCAGGATCTTGATGGCCACCTTTTCTGGAAAAAAACAAAAACAAAATATCAAAGGATATGACAGAGTTCACAGGAGAACAGACATTTAGAACCAGAAGGGACTTAAACCAGCCCTTTTATTGTGCTAGACACAGAGGTTGAGTGGCTGCTCCAAGCTCAAGCGTGCATCAGTGGCAATGACAAGGGGATTCTTGATTTCTTCCCTTCCATCAGCCTGAGTCTTCCACACACAGGTTTTGATGCCAGATCCTGCCTCCCAAGGGAATTTTCCAGATAAAGTTGATGCCCCTTTGCTCAGCAGCCTCATGGTCCATCATCGCTGTCCACCGTCCCCAATTCCCATGCACGCTTTAGTCCAACCATTACAGAACTTTTTGTTGTTCTCTGGAAAGGTACTGAACATTCATGCCTGGGCCCTTCGCCTACTTGGATCATTCTCTCCATTGTTCCTTCCCTGCCCTTTACTGTTAACTCTTGATGATCCTTCCAGATGAGCCTCAGAATTAACCTATCTCGGGAGCCTTCTGTGACACCTGTCCTAGGATGATCATGATGTCCAGATTCTGTACCTTCAGAGCTCCAGTGTTCTGCAATCTCAGCTCCCTGGCCTGTTCACGCCAACTCCCTCATCTATCTCTCTCTGGCTTCCTTCCCAGCGTGGACTGTTTTATTGGACATTTGTCAGGGTCTGGCACATGGATGTCACGTACATGGCACACTAGTCCTCTGTACTGACACAGGGCATGAGGAAATCGGCACTGCAGTGTGCTGCTGGTGGGAGGATTAATCAGTACAATGGTTCTGGATTGTACTCTGCGATAACGTACTGAAATCCTAAAGAACGGCTGCACCCTGTGACCCAAGCATTTCACTTTTGACATGCTTAAAGAATCTGACACATGTACAAGGATGCATGTGTAAGAAGGCTTCTATGATATTGGGAATGGCTTAAGTATTCAGCAAGAGAGATGGTTAAAATAAAGTGTGACTCAGCTGGGAGCGGTGGTTTATGTCTGTAATCCCAGCACTTGGGAGGCCAAGGCGGGTGGATTGCCTGAGCTCACAGGCTCAAGACCAGCCTGAGCCAGAGCGAGACCTTGTCTCTAAAAATAGCCTGGCATTGTGGTGAGCATCTGTAGTCCCAACTACTTGGGAGGCTGAGGCAAAAGAATCGTTTAAGCCCAGGAGTTTGAGGTTTCTGTGAGCTATGATGCCACAGCACTCTGTCACCAAAGGTGACAAAGTGAGATTCTGTCTCGTATATACCAAGGGTGATGTGTTCAAACCCGGCCCAGACAAACTGCAACAAAAAAATACCCAGGCGTTATGGCAGGCACCTATAGTTCCAGCTATTCGGGAGGCTGAGGCAAAAGAATCGCCTAAGCCCAAGAGCTGGAGGTTGCTGTCAGCTGTGACACTATAGTACTCTACTGAGGGCAACAAGATGAAGATTCTGTTTTAAAAAAAATAATAAATAAATAAAAAGAATAAAAAATAAATAAATAAATAAATAAATTGCAGCTCACCTAATTTTATAATGCCATTTTATGCAGCTATCAGAAATGATGATATTGATCTCTATTTATTGATATGAAAAGACACTCAATGTACAAGTGAGGAAAAGTACATATTTGCATAGAAAAAAAATCTGGCAGGATATTCACCAAAATGTTTAGAATAGACAATTATCTTCTAATTGGGGAATCACAGATGGTTTTCCTTTAAATTATGTTTTGCTTATCTGTATTTTCTATTTTTTATACATTGAATATAGACTAATTGTATAATGAAAATGATTTGTGTAAGAAAATAAATGAATATCTACTCCAAAGTAAAACATTGTTCATTTTTTGGTTTAAATTGGGTCAAACTTTCTATTAGAAAAGAAGGAAGTTATCAGGCAGGTAAATAGAACAGGATCACAGAGTATCTGTTTGACTCACAAAAAACTGCTTTGAAGAGCTTTGGCATGGTGGTTATTGCCATGAAAATAGGCACTGCTAGGTTAATTAGGAGTGCTGTTGGTTTATTAAAGTAGGTCCATTAGGGCTTCTGGCAAGGAAGGAGGCAGGGTGCACTGGTGTCTAAAGCAGCCAGCGCTAATTGGCAGGCAATCAGCCCCAACAAATGAACCTCCCACGGCGATGCTCGGGCATCCTTCTTTCCTGGTCACATCTTTTCTACTTTTCAGTCTTTTTTTTTTTTTTAGGGACAGAGTCTCACTTTGTAGTTTTTGGCCAGGGCTGGGTTTGAACTGCCACCTCCGGTATATGGGGCCAGCACCTTACTCCTTTGAGCCACAGGCGCTGCCCGACAGAGTCTCACTTTATCACCCTCAGTACAGTGCCGTGGCATCACAGCTCACAGCAACCTCCAGCTCTTGGGCTTAAGCGATTCTCTTGCCTCAGTCTCCTGAGTAGCTGGGACCACAGGCCCCCCACCACAATGCCCAGCTATTTTTTGTTGCAGTTTGGCCAGGGCCAGGTTTGAACCTGCCTCAGTATATGGGGCCGGTGCCCTACACACTGAGCCACAGGCACCACCCTACTTTTCAGTTTTTAGGGTTTAGATTCCCTTCAGTTATTTAGCTGAACTGGAAACTTCAGTTCTGAGTACTCATTGGGTCAGCTGTTATTTTAAGGGCGGGAATAATGAATTCCACCCTTGGATCTTGTACATTTCCTGCAGAGCAGCCCACTGCTTCTCCTCCTTCTCTGGGCCACTGACTCAGGCAGGTGATTACACCCTCATTATGCCCTTCTGCCCCTCTTCCCTGTGGCCACCACACACCACTCCTCACACGGTTAGTGCTGGAGAATTGGGTGGCGGATGTCAGGCTACCATAACAAACCTCCCTTTAGCACAATTTTGATTTTCTTTTTTTTCCTTGCATGGTTCCTCGCTATCCCAGGGCCAGGGCTAGAGTGCAGCAGGGCTAGGAGAGGTGTGAGGACAAGTGCTTTCTTAAATTCTGTGCCTCCATCTCCTCCCTTTGTGGGGGGTCACATTACACCAGGCCTCATAACACAAATGTGTAATCTTATTAAACGTCTCTAAATCCCTGGTTTTCCACATTATCACTTGGTGGTAGAAACTTCTGTTCCATGGAGAACTGGGTCTCTAAATCTACAAAGGTTCAGTGAGCACCTAGGATATAGTGAAAAAGATAAGTGCTGTCCTCACAGTCTGGTGAGAGAGAAAGACTTCAAGAAAAGTTCTGCAAGTGTGGCCCATATGAGGAGAGGATACAGGAGGAGGCTTACGTTGTGCCAGGAGGTAAGGAGAGAGGACCCGCACCGGTCCCAAATCAGCCTGGAGTGGTAGGCAGGGGTCAGAGAACCCGGAGCCTTGGAGGTTGTTTTGGAAGCTTGGCCTCTGTCTTTAGACTAATGGGAGACACAACAAAGTTTTAAGGGCGAGGGTAATAATCTCATCCCCATTCTAGAAGGAGCACACTGGCAGCAGTGTGGGAAGGGCAGAGAGGAGCACCGAGCTGAGAGCAGGTGGTGGTTTAGGAGGGGCTTATAGAAATGCCAAGAGAGGACTCTTGGTGGTGGCAGGAGAAAAGTAGCCAGATCGGGGAGGTCAACCTCTCCTTACTTCAAATCTGATGAGGAGTCTGGCACAGGCCCCACCTAGTAGGCAACATGTTCTTCAAACCAGGACTCACAGACCCAAACACCTCTGGAGTCTGGGGTGGTATAGTGAGCAATAGGGAGTTGTTTGCTGGGGGGGGGGCAGTGGTGTCCTGCAGAGTACCTGCCCCCATGGGAAGGGGCAGCCACTGCTCAACACCACATGAGGTCACTATTTGGAATATAAGCTCAGCTTTCAAATCTTCCAATTCTTTTTTTCAAGAGAAGTCAGATATCCTAAATTGTATGTAAAATCTTCCAGTATTACAACTAATTACAACTAATTCAAACTTCAAAACCTAGATGAAGCCAAGCAAAATATGTCAACAGGACCAAGGGGATAAGGGGAAGGAGCAAATATTAGAACCTAGAAAGAGACTGTTGTGTAGAGTCTAGACTCGCAGCCAGCCTGAGTCAATCCTACAGTGAGGGGCTGGGGATGTAGGGAACAGCCCCCCTTCCTCTAATACCCTGCCAGAGCTCCCTACAGACAAAGGCAATTGGATCCTAGCAGACCAGGGAGACTCCATGTAGTCTGAGCTGAGACCAGAATAAAGAAAGGTGGAGAACAGATCTGGAGGGGCAGATAGGAGATGTCAGACACAGGGAATTTGGGGAGAAAAGTGCCCCAGGCAATGAGGGCATGAGACAGGGAGAGATACCTCTAGTCTGGGGCCAGGGAAGATTTTTAACACTCTCTCTGGAGCCTAAGACTTAGAGGAATGAAAAAGAGGTTCTAAAAGTAGGAATGAGTAAGAAAGAGGATCTTGAGGCAAAAAAGACTTGATAATTTAGGGTTATGGTCTATAAGTTTTTTTGATTGGCTTCCTTTATCTAGAAAACATTTTTGAGCATTATTCTCATGTACATATATTTATTTATAAATTATGTGCATATACCACTAATATGGTATGCATTTCCCATATATATAATTATAGAGTGGCTCGTGCCTGTAATCCTAGCACTTTAGGAGGCCAAGGCAGGAGGGTTGCTTGAGGCCAGGTGTTCAAGACTTAGCCCAATCTGGGCAACATAGCGAGGCACCTCCTCTGTACAGTAAGTTTTTTTCAATTAGCCAGACGTGGTGGCTCATGCTTGTAGTCCCAGGTACTCAGGAGGCTGAGGTGTAAGAATCACTTGAGCCCTGGAGAATGAGGCTGCAGTGAGTTGTGACTAAGCTATTGAACCAGCCCAGGGGATAGAGTAAGACCTCATCTCTAAAAATAAATACATAATAAAATAAAAAACATAACAATTTAAAAGAGGATATAAACGGAAGTTCTAATATCTTCCCTCCACCCCCATAAATCATCTTAGGTGTCTCCTGGGGTATGCACACTCTACTTTCGAGATGACAACCTTTGAGGGACTCAGATAAGACAGTCAGGC